ATTCTGTTTCGTTTTTAAACAATATCTGAAAAAAAACAATGTAATTATTGCATATCAATGTGGATTTTATAGGGATTATTTGTTTTTTTGTTTTTTTTCGCGATTGACCTGACACGGCAATGACATAAAAAGTGCATCGTCGTCATTTAATAAACAGCGATTGTAAAGGATTAATATCATCGCTTATATTTTTCTGTAACATTGCTTTTAATCGCTGAAACAGGTGCGCTCAAACCTTCGACATTGGTCTTCTGTATATATTTGTTAAATACACACATGAGCAGTACTTTGATACGTTCCCTAGTCTGAACTGGCGTAATTTTACAATGGCCAACGCAATGGCACGTACCTTACTGGGCATTAACCCTCCCCAACTCCCTCTTCTTTGAGTGGTAGAAAGTGTGAATCTTTTGACAGCGATGAAACAAAAATATGATGTCAACATAATGTGGCCCAATTGAGTATAAGCAAGTCGTTGTTTCTTTTCATTTCTTCTTTTATTAGGTACAAGCAGCGTCTGACATGGTTTGTGAGATGGTGTTCCTTTCTCCAGCGCTCCACGGCCTTCTCTCGCTAACCCCAATATCTGTCGTCTATTTATCCCCACTGCCGAAATGACCGTTGATCAAACCCCACTTAGCCTATGTATCTTGAATCATGAATCTACGCTGGTGTTAGCTAAATTATTGCTGACCATCCGTAAATCAATACATACTAACATTATATAGGAATAGGTACATAGATGATACATATATAGAAATAGGAACACATACAATTGTATATACTGCTTAATTAAATGTGATGAAATCTTCTTGGTCAGTTTGTAAGCTAATCCTACTTCACCTACTTATAGTGTTCAATGTCTTGCCACATCAGCATAAATCGTATTAACTAAAGATACACATTAGGTCTGATAATAATATTTAGATCAACGGTACATTTATAACTTGAATGAAACCAAAGATTGGTTTTATTTTTTGTTCTATTTTTTCATAATTAGCTGGAACACCATTTTCCCATAAGCCATCTGGTTACAATAATGCACCCAGAATTAGTTATTCATTTTGACGCCATCGAGCGGCCTAATTTATTGATATTGTTTCAATATGATCTAAGTTATACAAATTAGTGTTGTGTACAAACAAATACATCATTGAACCCAATCTTTCTCGTCACTGGTCATTGAAGGTCGCACGTCAACTCGGCTAAAATGTTTTAAGGTGAGCAACGTGGCCCTGTCGTATAAAATTGCAGAAATATTCAAATTCAAATTCAAATTCATTCATTGACTTTGAGCTTTACAGATCATCAGTATGTAAACAATACATATAAATACAGTGGCAGGCAATGCAATACCGCAGTGGAGAATGGACAGAAAATGCATGTAGTTACATATATTTTAACATTATATCATGCTATTCCTCAACTGGGTGGCATCATATATATATTTACTTAACATAGTTAATTCTTTAAAGTTCGTTGTACTCAATAATTGTATCAGCTTGAAAACTGATGGTTTTTTCCAGTAATACAATTTTATACGTCTCTCTCTTAAAGCTTGATAAAATGGACAAATAAACAAAAAATGATATTCGTCTTCAATATCTTCAGAATTACAAATTCTGCATATACGTTCATTTCTAACAATGTTTCGGTATCTCCCGGTTTCACTATACAGCATATGCGCTGATAAACGTAATCTAGTTAGAGCAATTCTATTTCGCTTTGGTATATATTTACATAAATATTGTTGCAATGTTAAATTATCAACTAAATGTCTATACAAAAAAACATTTAATATAAACCCATTATCGGATATCATATTTTTTATTTGTTAAAAAAATGATTATGGTAACACATACATTTTACAAATATTAATACATTATATTAACATACAAGTATTAGAGATCACAAACTGGAGTTTACATTAAAGAAAAAATGTGTGTATCCAGATGAGCACAAGGCAATATAACAGAGCGATACTTATATACAAATTCCTTCAACATAGCATGTGAACCTCGCGTACCTAAGTCATTCCATACCGTATTCAAAAACCTTTCACACAGAAACAGACGAGACAAAACAATCAATATTTAGAAGGTTGATGAATGATTAGAAGTCATATCTTGCATTGATAAGCAGTAAATTATTAAACATTAAGATTTCCTTTGGTTAATTAACCGTGATGAATCAATTTTGAGCTTATTCAGTTTATTAATCGATCAACAGAATTAAAACAAAACATCTTTGTACACGATTTCTAATCATGAGCAACATACAACGACAAAGAATAAGAAAACAAATATTACAGATACTGTTAAAAAATACTTTTTCCAGTGGTTCTTACCCTCGTGGTTCAACATTTGCTGCAAAGTAGAGGTATATTTCACTGAAATCTTTAAAAAAATTATTATTTTCATTGAATATCCGTCGTCGTTTTATTGTTCGTCATTGAGAAATGGATATAAAGTATATATATTTATAAAAAAAAAACTATCACAGTCATATAATACCTTAAAATCTTATTTTCTATATCTACATATATCTTCTACTATTCTCGTGCTGTTCTCGAAAAATATCAATAAGACCATAATTTTCAACAATTTCACATACCTTGTCCCTAGCTTTTGGGTTGTTTATATTTTTATAGTTACTATCATAATCCACCTGTGGGTTTAAAACTGAATTAAAATCACCACACAATACAATAGAACTGTTTTCAAAACCATCAATAGTATCGGAAATGATATTATAAAAGTCTGGGTTATCCTGGTTCGGACCATATATAGTAATAAGAGTCAGTCTTGAACTTTCAATGGTAATATCCAGAGCTAAAAAATTCCCCGTGTTATCCCTCTTTTCTTTAGGAACTTTAAACTCAAAATTGTTACTTATCAATATAGCACCCCCACCCCCTTGCGTTAGATTTGTAAGAGTAAAAAAAACATTCAGTTCCCCACTCACTTCTAAAAAGATGTTCTTTCTCCTTAGAAAAATGCGTGTCTTGGTGACAAAAATATTACACTGATATAATAATATAAAAATATTTTTTAAATACGCTTCGCAGTTCATTAAATTTGTCTCAAGACCAACTCAATTAATCATCCCATGAAACCGACCTAAGCAAGCTTCAATCCTCCAGTAAAGCTTACCTTGATACAGAGAAATCTGGCGTAACCTTTCATATGACTTACATCCCATGAAATGGAATCATAATAAAATCCGCACAAATCACACGTATCTGAACACATATTAATGAAGAAAAATAGAAACATACAATATGTAACTCGGTATTCGGGCTCTACTCCCGGAGATGTCCATTACCGACACATAAAGTATATAATATGTACAGTGTCCAAAAAATCTCTTATCAGATAGTCACCATTTAAAGGAGTGTCCATTACCGACACATAAAGTATATATTATGTACAGTGTCCAAAAAATCTCTCATTAGATATTCACCATTTAAAGGAGTGTCATCAAACAGTCTGCGTTTTCTACCATCATTTAGAATAATAAAAAGTTTCCCGTCCACACTGTTAATATTTCTAACACATTCTAGTCTTTAGGCCTCTCTGAGACGATCCTGGCTTCTTTGAGTGTGATCCTCGAAGATAGCGATTCAAGTACCCTTCAGAAGTCGTCTGTTTCTCAGAATATCATGTTTCTTTGTTCGGCGGTTGAACTTGACAAGGATGCCTCTTTTCTTGCCTCTGACGAACTTCCCCAATCTGTGAGCGATATCTATGTCATCACCGCTGAGTGCCAACTTAAGCTTCGATTTAACAAGACTGATCACTTTTTCCTTGCACTCCTCAACTGTCTCTTTCTCTGTCGGATCATCCAAACCGAAGATACGAACCGAATTTTTCCGCCCCTGTTGTTCAAGGTTGTTGTATCTACTGTTCGCTTCCTTCAGTTCTTCCTGAAGTTCCATACACATAGTTTCTAGGTTTCCAACAGTCTGTTCGAGTTCCTCATTTTCTTTCTCGACTTGAAATATTCTTCCTTCATACTTATCCAATAGTTCACGAATCGCCTTCCGAATATCCTCCTTTAGTCTAGCAAACTTCTCCTCCATCGTATCTGTGATCTGTTCCATCTTTTTGTCCATTTCGGTTTTTGTCGCAATATTGGAGATCATCGCTGTAATTTCCTCTAATCTTTCCTCTGTCGTCTTAACGGCACTCGAACTACAACGTCTTACTCCCGTTTTACCCATGGTCAGATCCAAGTCAATAGTGGTGGTAAAACATAGGTACAGTCTGGCCTGTACAGGTGAAAACCACACAGGTACTAGTAATAAGCATGTCGCTGAACAGTTGTCACACGGTAGAGTCCTAATTCATTGTTTGTTTTCCAAAGGTTCTAAAAGTCTCTTTTTGATGCAAGAAAGACAAAGATTCCAAAGTAGAAATGGTCCCAAACACAATAAACACATACTGGCCGAAAACCAAGATGGATAACGTCTTCAGTATTAAAAAAAGACATGATTTTCCGGAGCAAAAAAATCGATGGTTCCATATGTCCAGTCCGTGTATCAGCCAGAAATCCTCAAAAATAGTTTCACTATTTATCAAGTGGACGTATTTCATGAGGTATGATGCTCATTTGAATACCCTAACTTTTAATGAACAAACAGCATACTTGACACCAAACACCCAATGTGTCTATACATTTGAACACAAATTCAAATTATCGAATTCACAACCAATGTTTATAGAAGAAATACAAAAAAGCAAGTAAATAAGTAATTTAAAGAATACATTATGATTAAGCGGTATGATTCAACTTTACATAGACATCCTAAAATGCATTATTGGGGAGAAATCCCCATTTCCTGAAATATTTTTAGAATGGTTTAGGGGGAAATGCACAACGTAGAACACATACATCAAAAACTGACCTTAATGTTAATGTTTACAAAATGCTATCACTGGAAATGCGTTACCCCACAAGGTTTACACAAGCGAAAATCATTGGCAGTTATATTACTGGCATGAATATTTTAAAGACCTGTTTTGATTATTATAAAAGTTACGATTGCCCTATTTTCAGTCTTCTGTTGTTTTGTATGATAATGATTGGTGTTAGCATCATTTTAACGTAGAAATATAATAGTATCAGTTAACGTGTCTAAACGTTTAACATTGCTGTAAGATATTTAACATATCCACAAACAGTAAACATTAATTGAAACATTTAAAACGAAAAAAAACTAAATTATTCGAAGGCTCCTAAACCAGGTTTAGTAAGTTTCCATTTGTATTTAAAAGCTGTTTCCAAATTCATGTTCTCAGTAATACGTGCAAGAAGCGTTACGAGAACAAAACAAACAAAAAAATCAACGTACCACTGCCTTTTTGAACATCTAATCTTCTCGCATACAAAAACGAAATGCTGAGAAAGCAGTACAAAATTTAAAGATGTCAATAATGATCACTTCACAATGTCGAATCACATCCTATTTCAGTTCATTCCCTTCCTCAATACGACAGCTTTCATTGTTTGAACAAACTACCATAGTTCGCCTCTTATGATAGTAGAACAGATTCCTGATGGTATCTAACATCACTCGCCACAGGCCTCTGTACTTTCAGTTTACCAGTTGGCAGGCATACTAACAGAACGCCGAAGAAATGGCCTCTGTTCTGGCGGTGAACTCTCAACCATATGTAAGTCGTCCTCTTCTATTACATTGCCAGTATCTTGCTCATCCAAATGGTCAATGCGCCGTTGCTGCATGCTCTTGCGTCTGAAGTAAAACGAGTTCAGTAAGACCTTGTTAAAACCACAGAATCATCACCCGTGTGCTATATAGTCCTCTATCGTACTGTCATTATACAGGTTCAGCAATAAGATCGCCTCTATCCGTTCCTAAAAGTCGTCTGCAGAATGAAAAGGTTAGAATATTCAAGTCAAAGGTTAAAATGTCATTTGAAGGTCTTCAAAAGGTCATTTGATGTTTTTTTGTCTGCTATGAAGAGCTTTTCTTATCTTTATTAATAACATTTACTTGAGAATTCACAGCTGTTACCATGACAACTAAATCGTTTCATTACTTTGTCAAGGCATTGTTTACTCATCCGTTTAAATACCAAAACATATTATTAAATACACGGCAATATGTCTTATAAAATTGAACTGAATTCTAGAATAACGCAGTTTTACCTAAAAATATCATTGCCATTTATGTTATCCATTTGCTTTAATATAAGTTTTGCAGTTAGAATAACTATCATTACGTATGTATATATAAATATTCAGGCCGACTGAAGCCTGTCTTAAGTGAAAATGGAAGAATTTCTATAGCAAAAAGCATCTTATATCAAAACAGTATTTCTCCGAAATGGAACCAAGTAGAGAGTTCAATTGATAAGACAATATAAGGAATTATACAATGTGACATTGTGATACTACGGTGTGCATGTAGATATGAATTAGAAGGGTTTATGAGTCATGTTATTTCAAAAGTGGTCAAAGGGTACCTTTGAATATGTCATCTTTACCGACACCCATCAAAATCTAATTAAGAATATTACGATGTGGTGATATGGTGGAATATGAACTACAGATTTTAAGGAATCCGTGAGAAGACTGTTTATTGGAAAAAATACTGCCATTTAACTTATAATGATGAATGCCAAAATTAAACCAGATGTAGAACATGATTGCGAAATACAATGGTACGTGTATGAATATGAACTTGAACTGAATAACCTATATACCATCAACGTCTTATCAGGTATATCAACTGTGAATGTATAGTTATTGTTATATATTGACAAGTTCATAAAGCCGCATTGTTCACATTTTTTTTAAAAATTCAGAAATGGACCTTAAACAGCTTTGAGAGAATTTTGACCACCAAAATCAAATCTAGTATAGATCGTCATGTAAGTCTGTGGTTCAAAACGCTTCAAATTAATATAGATTCTTAAATGCACCTTTACCTAAGGATGTAAAAAATGATTGATTTATGATATGTCAGCATTACAATGATTTGAATGTTTAATTTCTTATCTCATTTTTTAATAAATAAGATATAATAAAACAATACATGTAAAAAAAAAAAAAATGCTTACCTTAACCTTCGTCGGAAACAGAATGCACCAACAACAACACCAACAACAAAAACTATGGGGATCGTCACACCAACTGTCAATTCAATAACACATGTCTAAGTTGACTTTGAAATCATATACTGTAAACACTGTAGATTTGGCACAATCAAACATACGCACATTATCTCGTTTTCATCAAGTTAGCGTAATGATAAATTATCGCATCCAAAATCAAGGATAAACTGCAATCGGCGCAATCAGATATACAAATGCAATATATCCAGCACAAAAAGCCTTAAAACATGATAACTGTTAAGAAATGAACGTATTCAGTATGCATCGCAAAATAGACATCTTCCGTTTATTTGTCTATAAATACTTTAATCTATGAGTAAATGAGTGCAATATACGAGAAAAAAGCTTGGAGAGCAGTCTCCATGTTTGTAAGAGAATATTATATTAATCAACAAACCAAGTGTCCTATTCGTCCATAAATGAATAAAACTGCATCATATAAATAATTCGGCCTTTTAGGATGTGCCTGTTAAGGTAAAGGCCTTGGAACCTACATGACGACATGTTATGATCTACCTTATCGAAATGTATGTCATAACCCAGATAGGGAGGTGCGCTAACACCAACATTCAACTGATTTTAACATTAAATGTTTGTTTATGTTTTTTATATCCCTGTATGATAATATTTGTTTTCGGATTTTGTGTACTAGAATGATAAATATACTTTATTGGATAAAGAAAATAGGACAATAGGTAATATCATTGGTCCAGACATCTTGCGTTATAATCATTGAAGAGGTAAAATCAGAACTCCCCTTGAAGCTTTCAGATTCCAACTAATGTGGCATTATACTAGTTATGAGAATTATATCGATTGCATATAACGTTATTAAAGCCTGTTAGCTTAATTAATATCTCGAGTTATAAGCAGACAGTCACTTTTAATACTTACTTATTAATTTCGAATTTCCCGTATTATCGGTCAGTTGTGCCGGTGTGTTTACAGTAATGTCCTCTCTTCTTTTACACTCCTTAAAATCTTTTCCTAACGATGAAAGAAAATTAAAAGTACAGATATTGAGATTACCTTTACGTTTTGATAATAATTCTACCGTATGTGTGTCTAAATCTGCTTCTCATTTGGACATTATTTGATCAATTAAAAATAATTAAAAAATCATACTTTTTGACGATATCATGATAAATTGTGTTACTAGTTTTTCTACCTTCATTGTTTTGGCGAGCCGGCCCACATATATATGACGTATCATTGTTATGGCTGCATGGAGCGTTGGTATCCTTTTCGTCGGAACATCTATTGTAGCTCCAGTTGCCGTTGGGCAGATGATGACACTCCCGAATACCCTAGATTAACAAAGGTTTAGTGAACTTATTAAAGTATGTCAACTGAACCTGCCTGTGCAGAACGATTCGGTGTCATTCTAAATGATTTAATTGAATATTACAATGCTTATGTAAGAGTAACTGAAATTATCTAGACATCCTATACTCACTAAAATATTCTGGCACCGATCTCCCTGATACTCGGGTCCTCTATCCACTACTGTAAGGTAAAATTTTGAGACATGATTAACTTAATTTTCTCCCCATTTTAAAAGTTTTCTTAAGACAACAAACGTATCAAACAAAATTCAAAGATCAAATAAGCGATTTAGAACGTTTGATTTAAAACATGATATTTTACGTGTATTTGTCAATCTAAAGTGAACAGAACTTTCATTTTGTGTATCAGGTAAAATAACAGAGCGGTTATGCAATAATAACAATGGAGAAACATTGTTTCCACCAATAACTAAAACAAACGGAGGCCAAGGTAGATATTGATTATCTGAATTCCTTAAAGCCTGATCGAAACAAATGCCTGTTTCGTTGTATTTCGGAATCAGAATACAAAATGTTCAATGTATGCCTCCCTGATATTTAAACTGCATCTTATTCTATAATGTTCACCAGAGCGTCATGAGTACCACATCTTTAATAAAGCATTGTATTGCACTTTCGTTAAACTTTTCATGCATTTATCCGTCATATCTGATTGATTGAAATTACGTAACGACTTAATAGGTTATAGAGAGCAATTCGATGAAAAAAGGAATAGCACGTGATCGGATGCAAAAAAAATGTACCTACCAGATGGACATTTACATTTGTAAGTTGGTACATGATTAGCAGAACAGTTCGACTCCTCCAGTTTACCGCCATTAAAACATGCCACATTTTCGTGGCAACCTGAAATTCAATGTTTTGATGATGAAAACAGGAGATACAAATATATTCAATCCAGGTTGTTTGTTCAGGTGAATATGCATATTTATCAATAATAATTTGTGACATTGACTAATATGAATTCTTCGGGCGAAAATGGTATCATTACCAGATTCCCAGATCCATTAAGGTTTTAACATACAGTAGTGTTACACTTATACGATTACATGCATTTTAATATATACATATATGTGTGTGCGTGCGTGCGTGCGTGCGTGTGTGTGTGTGTGTGTGTGTGTGTGTGTGTGTGTGTGTGTGTGTGTGTGTGTGTTTGAGGGTGTGTGTGTGTGTGTGTGTGTGAGGAAGTGTGTGTGTATGTGTGGAATTATAATATATCTTAGATTACAAAGACAGTACTTTTGGAGCATTTCCAATTACTTAATAATACCTATTTTACAAAATATATAATATTATTGGTTTTCATCTTCAATAATGTTATGTTATAGTATTTATATGCAGTTTTAATAATTATAACAGTTTTAATAATGTAAGTTGTTTATACAATAAGAACAAGATTGACAGGTCAATTACGTACAATGTTTGGTGTAATTGTCTTCACATTGATAACTATGCGGTAGGATTCCTGCACATAAACATGCTAGCTTCCAAAATATTTGTCCTGATGTGGATTTACAGATTGGAGTAAGATCTGTACAACAGAAAAACTATGATGAAATATAGAGATATTAACAATGGTCGATTGAAACATCATACATTTTATAGGCACATCTTCTTCACCCGCTACAATTCATGTCCGTCTTTGAACTGTTATCATTTCATGGACATATAAATTAGTGGATCAAGCGTTATTTAGAATTAGACGAAAATAAATCCCCCACAAAAATAATCATTTCACAGGCATTTTAACATAAATCTGTACTTGTACCATGTCTTTAATGATGTAAATGAAAATGACTCCGTCGTCATTCCTTGTCTCTTAGACCGGGGGTCAAATTGTGGAAACAGTTTATATCCACACAATATATATTTGTTGATAATGGAGAGACGAACATACACATGTTTTTAGAATTAACCTGGGTGTCATTCATATCCCCCATTTGTCTCAGCTAGGGGGTCAAAGTACGGAAACAGTTTAACTTTGCACGTATTTAAAATGGAGAAATGAATACACTCATGCCTCCATATTTGATCCGTGGGCATTACTGACCTTTTGGGGTTTAACCTGGTTGTTATAACAAGTATCCCCGCTCTGTAACTACATTTACATTTGTCTTGGTTCATGGGTCAATATGTGCTAACAGTTACATCTCGATTTCATATACAATGTTGAATGGGCCCAAAAAATATATCTTAACAATCAATCCTAGTCATGTTATAATGGTTCCATATTCAGTGATGAAAAATCACACCAACTTATCATTATTGCACTATCAAGTTACCTCGATTCTAATTTCATTGTTGGGAATGGAGCCCAAAACATTCCTTGCGATATTACATCCCGGTTACATAATCCCATTTGAATTCATTTTTTGTAAAGTTTTTATTTGATTGTTAGTATTTTTTTTTACTAAACTCGCACAGTAGGGTCAAATATGTGCAAAGAGTTTGAGAATGATACATTGAGCAAGAAAGAAATAAGGCAAAACTAGAGGGGTGACAGACCTCAAAGGAAGAGAGAAATGGACAGCCAAACACCTCTTCCTCTATCTATACAATACATGAAACATCACTCTGTACGGAAATATAAAACAAAGCGTAAAGATTTTTGATCAGTGCACCCCTCTTACCCCATATCCGAGATCTGTGCCCGAAAACGTACAATAATGTAGATGTACCGAACGAATACTGGGGTCAGCTTCAAGCGATTCATAAAAGGAAACGAGAGGTCTATAGACATATACACCTGAGATCACCCGACCAATAGGTTGATTATCCTTCTACATCACGTATATATTTAATATGACTAATTAATCCTTTCCTTACTGTCTTTTCTCCATGCTCGTTAATGTCTATTTAACACCCACCACTATGATCCTGGTACTGGTAATTAGCTGTGGCATTAGCGAGGACATCCTAACAAATGTGTATCATTGGAGGTCATGTAGCAAATTTCATTCCAAATATGATTACACTCCGGGAGTGTATTAAAGGTCAATAGAGAGGCTACCAAAGGCACCATGTCGTGTCTTATCAATGTTAAAACCATTCTTTTCATTTCCGTATCTTATGGCAATTGTATAACAAGTTATTAACATCAGGACAGAATTGTCAAAATGATATAATCCATCTGACAAAACTGGAGATTAATCAGAAAAAATATGGTGATGAGGATGGAGAACGTTAAGGCGAAGAATATATTCATGAAGGAAAAAGAAGATTACAGTAGGAATGATATCAAAAGGCGATAACTGAGGATATCAATATATCTCCGAAATAAGAGAAAAAGTCTACCATATAAAGAAACTATCATTATTAAGTCATTTGTCAACTTGTACATGGGAGTTTAAGATAAAAAAGATAGGTTGTCACCAATGCTTCTTATAATGGCAAAAAGGACAAAAGTCAAATTTTGATCTATTGCCATCAATTTTCAAATTTGGTTGATTATTGCTAATAGATAAATCACTAAAAGTCATTAGTATCAATTAATAACACATATTATTACAATTTAAAGTTATGTCAAAGGTTAATATATAGGTCACCAAAGATCATAGGTCAAGTAGGTCATTAATGTCAATTAACAAAAAGTCCAAGGTCAATATACATATGTTATCGAAGATCAAAGGTCAAATTGTTATCATCCACAAGCTGATCCTTTCCTCTGTCTCACCCTAGCCTGTAGTGGAAGTAGTAATGATTTCTCAACAGTTGCGATTTCAATGGTCACTTTTTAACGTGATACCCTTGTAAAACGGAATTCTTTTTTTCAGTTTTCAGTTGTTAAACTGTTCAATTTTCAACCTTTCACCGGCAATATTTTCAAGACATGAGAAATGATATGCAACGTAATTGCATCAGATATCATTACAACATCTCACTTGCTCTTGGGAATATATAATTATTGCATAATTATATGAAATTTTACCATTTAAAAAGATTTTTAAAGAAAACTTTCTCTATCCAAGACAAAAGAAATGTTTTTAATTAGTACTTTCATCAGGCACAACAACTACTACTTAAAACATACTTTGACTATATTCATTCTCATCATATATGTCATGATTGATTCGAGAATACCTGCATAACTGGATTGGAATTAGTTTGTCAAAGAAACCATTTTTCTTTAATTAGAAATTGTAAAATGTTATACAAATTCGATATTTCATGCGCTATCGTATTCACAAAGAGTGGAATCAGTGTATTGCTTTTATCAATGTTACTAATGGATTTTCTTACCTTCAACATTTTCTGCTTTTAAAATGCACTGTGTTTCATCCAAACCTTAAAGGTGAGTAAACAAGAAAGTTAACAATTATTAAGATACAAACTTCAGAAGCTTGCAGTTAAGTTAATCATATTAAAAAATGATTTTGAAAAATTCTATCTTTCGCGAAGAAACATACTTTAAAATATGATTCTATATTCCATTGAAATTTTCATAACATCAATAAAAATGCATCTGTTTTCATCTTAATAAAAAAATAAGTAAAAAGACAGATATTTTATTTTTAAATACGATGTTCTGGTTGAGCATTATTTTTTGTTATTTCTTAATTATTTCAATAAGTTCTTCTTGAGTGAAGACACAAAATGATTGAACATTTACCTAGAAATCGTGTGTACTCGGCGCTTGGCATGGGCTGTGGAATGGCACATACGTCTGAATCTGAAAGACGGAAATTACATAATCGTGCCACAAGTGTGTCGAAGAGTGTTGAATGCTGTAATCACATACCAAAACAAACTATCATTTCACCATGTACGTGTACAAAAATGTAGCTATGAAAAATGATATCCATGTTTGTTTGTGTGGCTAGGAACATAAGTGCAATGAAAATGAATAGTGTCTGCTCATAAGCGGTTAAAAACGTTATACATTTAAAACCCATTTCAATGAGAGATAAAGAAATTAGAAAAGGATTTTAATGATTTTTCAAAATAAGCCCTTAATTGATGTAAACAATATAAACTACATACCTGAAGCTTGCAGATTATGCGAGATCGATATGGCAAAATCAATCACAAATAGACACCGTGTCATTCCATCCATCTTTCTTCTTCTGCTGCAACGAATGCAGAATCATGAATATGTATAAAGTAGTTTTTTTAAAAAAAACTGAAGCAAGTTATCAACTACTAAAGGTATATGGAAGTCATTCTCTAGATGTCTCATCGCCCTTTTGAATGTGTACAAAAGGCATATATGTTATTAAAACATTTAACATAGATTTAGTAGCATTAAATGCTATATAATAATGCGTAAAAGCAAACAAGTGACTAACAGGATCCCCATGAAAGCCAACAAACAGCATATACAGCAATGTATACAGGGTCGCTGCAAATGTTTTACAGAACGACTGTGAATGTTTTACTCGTTTAATCGTTAAAACATCCTACAAAGTATACTATTATCCATGTGGAAATGAAAAAAAACCATACCAATAGTCATGAACAATGCAATGACATTAAATAAATATATACAGTTATATTTTGAGACAACAAACTGATAAAAACGTCGATTTCATGTTTACATGACAAATCTAATACTTTTCGTTGCCAAGATTCTAAATGGTGCCCTACAGTTAACCGTCTCTCGTTGAATTCGCTGCATTTAATCGCATAAACCTGTTATGTAACCAGACTTCATGATGCGAAATAACCCAATGTAGCAATGTAATTTCTAAATTGGCTCATACTGGCATGAGATAAGAATGGCCTTAGCTATCCGAAATTACAAATTGTGGAAACAGCCTTATAGAAATACTGAGGATAATGACGAGTACAAAACAACTTATAGTATGTTAACGAATCCATGCCTCAGAAACTTTAAAATCATCATTAACACAACCTTATTGTCCAACAGTAGCCGAATTCATCAAATCATACCTCGCGCTTGCTACAAACACTTCCATGTAGTTTATCGTGAAACTCAACAGAAAGACTTCCATGGACTGTTTTACTTTTAGTAGATATATTGTAGTTATTGCCGCAGATTGTAAGCAGATAATACTTCCTGCTAGAGGCGAATGTTTTTAGGGATCTGGTCCAAAAACCTTCGAATGATTTTAAGTCATCATTATCATCCCCGCTAACTTTAATGGAAAGTAGTAAAGATGTACTTACATTTCATTAAACCTGAATATAAGTAATCCTGTTCCCACGGAAAAGATGGCAGCGACCTCATACAAACATTTGTCTGAGCAGACGACACTATTTGATTGACAACTAACTTGCGGATATAACAAGTTCGTCAAGACCATACCCTCAAACCGTGAATACACCCACATTCATTAGAATGCTTGTAACGTTACTTCTTTCCTATCTCACCGAGATCTCTCATCTACATGGGTCGATTTGTTGAGTGATATTAACAGGCACCAACATCGGACGCACCAGATCTGGTAATGCTAAAAAGCTGACACTTGATATCATTGACTGACAAAAGTTTTGTGAACGGTATCCGGCGTACACTAAATTACACACTTTAACAGCAAAAACTCTATATCACGCTGGAGTGTGAATCACACTTTAATAAAGTTGTTAGACAGTCTAAGTTGTTTGTTAAATACAAACTTTTGTGTGTATACAATGTGCTGTGGATACGTGTACGTTGTTTCGAGGGGACGGTTAGAGGGAGACGTTGGCAAAATATGACAGACACATACCCTCCTCCCCACTGCGTGAGTATTATCAACTCAACAGTGGTTTGAATTAAGAATCAAATTAAATGGTGTCCCTCTGTTACTCTGGAAATACAGGTTAATGTGGCCTTCATTGACCACGTGGTACAATACAATACTAAAATGTTTACTTTGAACTCACTTTACAGACACTCTACGTCATAACTTGCCAGTGCCAACTACCATATGGTCACATAACAGAAACAAATAGGAATTCAAGACGACAGCAAGACGCCATAGATCTCGCGTTATACTTGATATAGTGGATACTGAACTATCCTTTTGAAAGTCATTGCTACTTATCACGAAATAATATAACACGATATATGTAATAGAACTGTTATGTGATATCATGCAGAGATACAATGAAACCGGAATGCTTTGAGATCTCGTTCGTAACATCACGTAGGACACATTAAACAAGAGATTTGGATAACAGATGAATATATAGATTTCAAATGAAATTTGATTTCCATATTGTGGCTTAATGTTAGTGTAAATGGTAAAGTTGGAAACACACAATACTTTTGCTTATCCGTAATTAAACATTCTAAGTATCGGGTACATCACACCGAGTTGTCTTTCAAATGTAAAAATACCATTTAAGGCTAATATATTGGTTGATAGCAACTCTTGTGAAAAATAAACCGATTTCATTGAAAGACATGATTTGCAAACATGAGAAATACTTCTACTTTCTTTATTTAAAAAAAATAGTCGTAAATATTGTTCTATCAGGGAACATCCAGTACACCAACTTTGTAACTTTGTAATGTCAGAATATCGTTCCCAAATGTTTTTTGCGCAAATATAAGAAGAGAAATCGCGTCGACCCTGTCTAAAATTTAACGCAATTTGCAAAAAAAAATCAAATGGAGTAAATTTTGGAATGTAGCTCGAACCACACCATTTTTTTACCCCATAGGTTCCACTGGCCGTTGAAACTTATAAGGGGAGTTCTTGAACTTGACCCGTTTTAGTGCGTCTTCTAGAGATATTTCAGGTGTATAATTATTATTTGTAGTGCTAGTTGTTCTTGTAAGCTTCTTATTCGAAGGACCATTGTGATATACCAGTTTCATTATGGTGATCACCATAAATATAAGATGAAACCAATAAAAAGCTAATTGATAATAATAATTCATGTTAGTGTTGTCATCTTTCATTTAGTGATATCAGTTCGTAACGAAGATATTATACCAATGCTATTAATTGGTGATATCACTAGGATGAAATGGTGGTATTATAATGATGAATAGGTAATTATCCATAATGAATTGGTGATATCACTATGTTCAAATGGTAATGTCACTGCAACGAACTGGTGATGTCACTATGATGAAACTGTAATGTCACTATAACGAGTTGAGGATGTCTTTATGACAAATCGATGATGTCACTTTGATGAATTGTTGATAGCATAATAACGAAATGCTTTTTGCCTCTATGATGAAAGGGTTATTTAACTATTACTAATTATGGTGATGTCACTATGATGAAATTATAAGGTCACTATAGCGAATTGGTGATGTCTTTGATGAATTGTTGATATCACAATGATGAAATAGTAATATAACCAGAACGAACTGGTGATGTCACTATGATGAAATGGTAGTGTCACTATAACGAATTGTTGCTGTCCCTATGATGTGTTAATGATATCACAATAATGAAAATGTATCACTATAATGAATTATTTTTGTCCTTATGGTGAATTGGTGATGTCACTATTATGAATTAATTTTGACCTTATGATGAATTGGTGATGTCACTATAATGAATTAATTTTGTCCTTATGATGAATTGGTGATGTCACTATAATGAATTAATTTTGTCCTTATGATGAATTGGTGATGTCACTATAATGAATTAATTTTGTCCTTATGATGAATTGGTGATGTCACTATAATGAATTAATTTTGTCCTAATGGTGAATTGGTGATGTCACTATAATGAATTAATTTTGTCCTTATGGTGAATTGGTGATGTCACCATAATGAATTAATTTTGTCCTTATGATGAATTGGTGATGTCACTATAATGAATTAATTTTGTCCTTATGGTGAATTGGTGATGTCACTATAATGAATTAATTTTGTCCTTATTGTGAAATGGTGATGTCACTATAATGAATTAATTTCGTCCTTATGGTGAATTGGTGATGTCACTATAATGAATTAATTTTGTCCTTATGATGAATTGGTGATGTCACTATAATGAATAAATTTTGTCCTTATGGTGAATTGGTGATGTCACTATAATGAATTAATTTTGTCCTTATGATGAATTGGTAATGTCACTATAATGAATTAATTTTGTCCTTATGATGAATTGGTGATGTCACTATAATGAATTCATGATACATTTATCCCTACACGTGTACGTGTAATATTACCAAAATAAAGTGCATATCACCATAACTATGTAGTAAATATCACCAATTCAAGCTGAAATTCTTTTGTAGGTAAAGGTATCTTAGTACAATAACTGTCACCTAGTTGATTTATAGATATTATATGACTACAATGGAATAGAACGAAAATACCTAGATATGGTATGTAGGATGTTTGTTTAGTAGTTCTTCTCTGAGCACACAGACGGCACTCAGATAGGTGTCCTACTTACATACATAATTATTTGTATTAGCCTACAATACAGAGTGTATATACGTCTCTGAGTACCTATATAAAATTATATACATGCCGAACATATCATCGATATCAACACAAGATTACGGAAGAATGCATATAGAAAACTAATTAAGATACTAACCTCTTCCTATTCCCGTGAAGTATGTTTATCTTTCGTTGACAACAGCGCAGATTTCGATTATCATAGCAGGCTGCCGATTACGACGAATTTCTACAAAAATAGCGTTCTGAGAATTCCAATCTATTTTTGCACACACGAAATTATGCGAAATGAAAGTGAAATAAAATTCTGATATACAGTATAGCATCAGTAACATGTTTATGGGTAAATATATATTTGTCTATGATAAACATAGCGTCGGTCACTGGACCGGTCACACCTACACATGTGCCTGGTAGCATAACAATGTACGGTTGATTGCAGCGTATATCAGTAAGCACTTCCTCAAGGGCGCGTACAATCAAATTATAGTTGATACTAGAAATTGTTGTTAACAATTTGGCGGGCTTTTCACTTTTTTGGCGACAAGTTGACCAGAAGTTGACATTTATCCTGATAACGATATATGAGAAAGGTTCCTTGTTTGTTAGTCCATACAACATATCCAAAGATGAACTTTGAATCTTGAAACGTTAAGGAGATATAACTACATAATAACGAAGAAATACACTTTTTAAAGGTTCAAACATATTTGACCCCTGTGACCTTGAATGTCGGTCAAGGTTAATCATATTTGCAAGCCTTATAATGTAACATCTTGTGATCAATATATCCCCAATATTAGTTCTCTAGACCTTGTGAAACTTGACAAGAAGATTGTTGAACACTGGTACCCTATTTTGTATATTTGAACTTTGACCCCTTTAAGAAACCGGAAGTTGATATTTTGAGGGAAGTTTTCCTTATGACAATCACTAGGAAGTCTGCACAGAAGGTTTATAATCAATTTTCATCATTGTATGCCTTCTAGAAAATGAGAAACTTTCATTTAACGATTTTTAGTTAATTGACATCTGTGACCTTGAAAGTGGGTCTAGGTCATTTATATTATCAAACTTTGTTGTCCGTTACATATCCTTCCTGTATATTAAATATCAAGCCTCTAGGCCTTTCAGAACTTGAGAAGAAGTTTTTCAAAGATTGGTACCGTAAATAGCTCTTTCCGAATTTGTGCCCAACCGAAAACCGGAAGTTGAACTTTTAGGGAAGTTTTTCTTATGACAACCAATAGGAAGTGTCCACAGAAGGTTTATAATCAATTTTCATCTTTGTGTGCCTTCTAGAATGTGAGAAACTGTCGTTTAACGATTTTTAGTTAATTGACCTCTGTGACCTTGAAAGTGGGTCAAGGTCATTTATATTATCAAACTTTGTTGCCAGTTACATATCCTTCATGTACATGAAATATCAAGCCTCTAGGCCCTCCAGAACATGAGAAGAAGTTTTTCAAAGATTGGTACCCTTAATAGCATTTTTCAACTTTGACCCCATTCCGCAAACCGGAAGTTGAATTTGAGGTATGTTTCTCTTATATCATTCGACAGGAAATGTCCACAGAATATTTATGTCCAAAGTTGAAGACTTTCGGCAGCTTAACAAAGGAGAAATTACCATTTAACGATTTTTACATAATTGACTCCTGTGACCTTGAAAGTGGGTCAAGGTCATTTATATTAACAAACTTGATAGATAATTAATCAGACATCTTACACATGAAATATCAAGACTCAAGTCTTTGCAGAACTTGAGAAGAAGTTTGTCAAAGTTTGTAACTTAAAATAACACTTTTGAACTTTGACCCCTACCGAAGACCGGAAGTTGACCTTTGATCCCAGTTTTTTTCTTGTGAAAAGTGTTTTCTTATTAATTTACATGATATGATTAAAACTGAGGTCACTAGCTGAAACAGTTCTTGAGTTACGGCATTTTAGGTAAAATCGGATATGACGTCATGGCGGCCATTTTGTTTTTCCGATGAATTTGAAATTGTCACTAAATGATAGAAGACATCTGGGGAAATCTTCTCAGTAACATTTTGATAAATTATAGCGCATCAATATTGTTCTAGAACGAGTTATTCCTATTTGTCGTCATTTTTAAAAGATCAAAGGAAATTTTCAAAATGGCGTACAACGGAAATGGCTAGGGTTTCTGAAGAACTGAAAACACTAAATTCATCGGAAGGACGTTCTGCATCGATCTGAAGAAAAAAAATTTTAAAAAGTTCAAAATTGAGAAAAAATAAAAATTTGTTAAATTTTGAAAATTTTACCCAACAGCGAGCTTTTTTATTTGACATATTTTCTGATAACATGTCATGACAAAAATTTAGATAAGGAAATTCTCTACAAATAATATAATTACACAAACTCTGTATAATCAAAGATTTTCGAGATATTGACGTTTTAAAGTTTTTAATTTATGACGTCATGGCGGCCATATTGAATTTTTGACCTACTTAAAAAATCGGCATCGACAAGTTCATATACGTATCTACATATAGGTGAATAGACTGAATATCTATATTTTTCAATTTAAAAGATTACGAACCCACAAAATTGGAAGAAGAATAATGATAAGAATATTAAGAATCAAGAAACACAACAAAAACAATAGGTCTTTTCACCACTTAGTGAAAAGCCCTAATAATAAGAAGAAGAAACATAACAAAAACAATAGGTCTTTTCACCAAATGGTGAAAAGACCTAATAATAAGAAACCGAACAAAAACAATAGGTGTTTTCACCAGTTAGTGAAAAGCCCTAATAAGAAACGTAACAAAAACAATAGGTGTTTTCACCAGTTAGTGAAAAACCCTAATTATCAATATCAACACCAGATTACGGCAGAATGCATATAGAAAACTAATTAATTTACTTACCTCTACCTATCTCCGTGAAATGTACATATCAGCATAACCCAGGAATACTACGAATGTTTATAAATAGCGTTCTGGGAATTCCAGTCTATTTTTGCGAACAGGTATTTCTACAAAATGAAAATTAAATAGAATTCTAATATACAGTACAGCATCAGTAAGATGTTTTTGTGTAGAAGTATATTTGTCTATGATGAACGTTTAGAATACAAATCTTAATTCAAACCCAAAATCGAGGAAGTATTAGCAAAGTTCTTGCACTGGTGTCCTTAAAATACATACAAAGAGAAACAAAAATTGTTTAGAGCTGAAATCATCTTTTGCTCCGTGGGCGTCATCAGCTATGTAAATATTGGCCATTCATAAATATACATACATATTGAAAGTCCTCAGCTGAGAATCAATTCAATTGTAACGAAATATTCGGTCATAGTGTTCAACCACGTAACCCTCAACTTACTGGCACATTGACCACTTTTTCAGCGCTGATAACACCCACGTCTAAACGTTTGATTCGGTATTGACTGACACATGCTGTAAGTCATTCGGCAGACAGACCCAAAAGATCAAAACTTTGGGATATTGAATCCTTGGACCAGTTTGATTATCGTATAGACATATCAAGCGGTTGAATTCTGGATATATGGATCCGTTTGCTGGAAATGTCATTTCCTGGATCTTAAACTGTTTCTTGATTTGACATTTGGCTTCCATTGGTGTTGATTCATAAATTTCTTTATTAACCTTGGGGTCTAACGTCACAAAATACAAATGCAAAGAGCAGCCAATCAAATTAGTTGGTTTCTCAAAACATTGACTGCTTTGACGTCTAGTGTATGACCGCTTTTACGAATTTTTTTCTTAGCATTAAATTATTCTGTCATTCTAAACAAATTCGGTTCTTTAAATATTACTTTAATATTGTATTTCTCAAGTCAGAATAACGACGACATATCAACTTACTAAAAGAAAACCGATGGTTTTACTTTGTTGAATATACCTCAGTGAGTAGGTAAAATGGACAAAGCTAAGTAAACAGCGGTGAGCAAGTTTCTTGTTTTGGATGGCCAGTCTGTCAAAAGAACGAATGTGGATGTGTTCACTGGGTGAAGGGATTTAAACGTGACAGAGAGTTTAGAAGATATTCTGCGGTCACTGACTTTGACACTATCCACAAAACAGTGAAGTAAAGCTATCATACAAGTAACAGTCTTTAGGAGTTGTTCTGCCATGTGGCCTTCCTTATGACAGTCTACATGTTCACGGTATTTTCAAGTGATTTTTATGACAGGAAGCAGAAATTATTTACATTTGATACCTGACTTTATCGTTATAACCAGGAGATGAAACTGGAATCAGTGGAGTGGAAACGCGCCACATCTCCAAAGGCAAAGTCATCTTGTTAACCCAGAAAGTTAAACAAATATCTATGTCATATCAATACATGACAACGCAGAAGATGTGAAACGAAAGGAAGTAACTGGAGATTTTTTTTCAGAAGGCAAATTTTCTAACGGTTTTTCAATGGTATTTCTGAACCATTTTTTCTAACGAAGGTGAACTTTCAAACATTTAAAAGGAACATTTACGACCGAAAATAGCATAGTAACAAGTAAGATTTCACTGACGTAACAATAACATTCAAATCAATATCAGAAAAATTAAAAAACAGAAAAAAAGTTACTGTTCCGTCGCCTAACACGTGCAGTATGACGTTCAAATAACATATAATTCCACGGTGGATTCGCATACACTTTCTTAAAAAAAAAACGCCAATTTCGTTAACGTTTTAAGAAGCAACTACACATAATACACATAACTTATTTAAATCATTAGTTATGTTAAAGTCCTTCAGCACTCTGGATAATTGGTTGAATTACCAGAAAGACGAAGCTAAGTATCGCGTGACTTCTCTGAAAGTTTCTACTTGAACGTCCTCACACTCTTTGAAGTTGTCTACTGTGTTGTCTCCGAGATAAGAGATTGTGTGTATTGCCTCCATGTTCGCCGTACGAAGTACAACAAGCGATGAATGATTCAGATATATAATCTCATTATTAGGGCAATTGTGTGTAGTATCATAGTTTGAAAACAGAGATTCATACAGCGTGACCAGTCCCCGCCGTTTTTTTTATTTGAGCGGTTGTTTGTACAGTCTAGTTATCTGAACACATTTGTCTTGATGTTTTAGATTGACGTTGTCGTGTAGTTATGAGATTTCTTACTGGCAAAGACATTGGACAGTCGTCTCCATGTTTCTGTTGAGTTTGTTAATAAGGTATAAAAACAAAGTTGTTATAAA